GTGAACACCGTTTCCATATCATTGTCAGTGGCGAAGTTAAGGAGGAAAGGTGACAACGAGCAACCTTGTCTCACACCGCCGGAGATATTAAAAGGCGGTAACATTTAGCCATAAATCCTCAACTTGTCCGATTTGCGCGCTTAAAACACTCCGATTGTGTATGCATATTTCTCGGGCACACCTTTCCTTAGTAGACAGTCCTAAATGTCACATCGATCGACCGAATCGAAGGCGCCTTTGGTGTCGAGAAACACGATTACGGTCAGTTGTCAATAAATATGCTGGTGCCGCAACGCTCGACGTCAAGTGAGAATGTAGTCAACGCAGCCTCGATTCAACGAAACGGCTTTTTTTTCCCGAATCGGGCTTTCACAGGTGCCATTTCGTATGTAGAGAACGACAGATGCAAGCAATGTGGAGACAGATGGAAACAGACTGATCTCTTTATGACTCTCCCCTTCCGAATGTGAGACTCCCTTGGAAATTGGGGCTATAACAGAGCGGCTCCATTCTGCTGCGTCAGTCTCATGCTCCAACAGTTTCACTTGTTAGTTGTGCAAATCACCCATGAGAGCTGGTCCACTGCTTTCAGAGAGGGCTCTAGGATGTGTAGTTGCTCATGTGGTCTTATTCAATTTCGACAGTCTGATCTCACATTCGACTTTTGCGCGTGGGGATGGATCCGAGGAGATAGCACAGTGGAGGTGCACTCATTCGCCTTATTCCGAGTTGACTATGCCGCTTCATCATCGCCAAAGGATGAGACGATATCGTCAACATGCTCCGCATCAGCCTTTTTCCCTCAAGTTGGCAAATTATTTCAGCGTACACGTCCTGAATTTTCGCGAAGCTACCTTTGATGAAAGCTTCCACGAAGAATTTCACCAAAGAGGAGTACTGGATATCCTTGCAAAGAGTAACTCGCTGTCGCGAAAAATTCCCTTGCTTAATATCGTGTAACGCCTTCCGAGAATCAAAAACAAAGACTGGGATGCGATTAGAATCTATTTGGATCGGAAGGCAACGTATTATGTTGGGACTTTTGCGCTAATAATGTGGCAAAGTTACTAACTCCATGTCGTAGGTGTAGGCTCATCAATCCTGGGCTGATGCCAGTTGGCTGCCATCAGCTAACCATTTAGCCGGTCCGATGGTACAAATCCGATTTACATTATCGTGGTGCTGTGGTGGCGTTTCTTACCCAGTAGAACGTGTAACGAGCACCAGCCTCATGCAGCTTGCCTTTGTCAACATGCCGAATCTCATTGTCGATCACATGGCGCACGTGTTCCACTGTGGCCAGTGCACTGTGTTGCTCGGGGCGTTCACTCGAGTTCCGCCGAGTGGTGTGCGCACGTTCCAGCACCCGATGGTTTGTTTTTGTTCTTGTGTACTGCCATGGTGTCCACACCTGACCAGAGAACGACTCAGGTCCTCTGTAAATTCTTCGATAAAATGTACTTTAGAAAGCAGCGGGCCATGCACCATATGTCATTGAAGCGACTAACGCGGATTGGTGTCCTGGCTCTTAGCTAGGAGAAGAGTGTTACCCAACTCCCGCCCAGTGCTTGCAGCGAGGAGGCGTCCAGGACATGAGTTCACAACACAGCATTAGCAGCAACGTGTCATCTCTCTGCCAGAATCTCACCAACACAAGCTTCAGGAATCCATGGACTCTCCCACTATGGAAGATAATCGTAAAAATTAAACCGAATATGCCCATGGTTTTTTTCAGAGGGCACGACGCTACCAGCTGCCCAAACCGAATTAGAGAAATGGCTTAGGGGACATCACTCCTTGTCTTTAGCTGAGTGGCGTATCTCAAAGGCAACGGAACATAGTCAGACGATCGCGCCCATGGGTAGCCGGTAGCTGAATACTCAGTTCATACGTCTTCTGCTTGATCTATTACCAATCAAGGGCCTAATCTTCCCCATAACTTCAGCAACAGAATGCTGGAATACAGTGACCCATCGGAATGAAACTAGTAGCAGTGGCTTTATTTAGTAGCGAGTTCCATTCGCCACGTCCCAGTATTGTTAAACGAACATTTGTGGCTATTTTAAGAGAGGACGCTTGTTTGGTGAAAATCAACCACTTCCTGGAACATTGTCGCCAAACCATTTGTTGAACTGGGAAAACCCAACCACCTTGGTGGCACCACTTAGAGGTCATTCGTCGCTTCGTCCAGTTCATTGGTAATCTCATGTTTGTGCGTCAGCCGCATTGTTGCCATGACAGCGAATAATTAAGGTACCTAACCAAAAATCTTTACGGCGTGACAGTGTTCCGGTTTTGTAGTATGTGTTACATTCCAATTTCAATCCAACTTTGATGATCAGATGGCTGAATTTCTTACTTTTAATCTTAGGCAAAGGATATTTGCACAGTAATTTATTTTCGGCTACTCTCGTCAATCTAATACAATGCAAATTACATTATTGTTGGGATAATAAGCCATTTCTAGCGTAACACAATTATACCTTGTTGTGTTTGTGAGATGCGGTAGTCATTGACCAATTTCGGACACAGCCGACTGATCCAAAGCCATGTGAGAATAATGCTTTGCACAAGCGCTTTCTGTCGCTTCCTATCGCACATTTTTGGTCGTATTGGCTTCCACAGTGTCCAGCATAAGCTTCCTACATCCTTTCGGGTATCGTTTCACTATGATGCAGTACGCTCTAATGGAATCCGTCTTCGTGTGTGTGGGTCCCGGAATGGTACACACCAGTCGCGCTCTCAGTGACACTCGTGCATTCAACTCCTTGCACCTAGCCATTAATCTTCTTGTTCGATTAGTTTAACGCACTCCATTCTTGATTCCATTTTTCCCCTTTTTTCTGCATCCGACCTCATTTTCTTAATGCTGGTATTTGCTGTTATTCAGGTAATGTGAGTCGTCTCAACCGAATCCATCACACTTCGGTGCCTGATTCTTAGTTGTATATTTCACTCGTGTGTGCTATGATCTCTGTGCGTTGTGGTGGCACGAAACCGAGTCGCCGGACATGGCTTGACGTGACTATGCTTTCTACCCCAGGCGTTCTTAGCACCGTTCTGGATACGTTGACCACAACTCTCAAGTGTGCCAGATTCTCCGACTGAAACACACTTTGTACACATTCGGGGCGCCACGCACAACTCTGCTATCATGTGCTGTGGTTTCGCTAGTCGTCTTATCAGCCACTTGATCTCTGCATGATCTCCAGCTTCTCGAATGCCGTCAAGCGATTTCTGCTAGTTTTGAATGCTATGCACTGTGCAAAACTGCTAGCGCAGAACTCAGGCATCTTGTCGTGAAGAATTGCGACGCCTGATGGGCGCAGCGGGTTATCAAGATGTAGCAAGCTTCCACCTCATCTGGGAGTTGATTTCCTTTTTCCGAGAGATTTGGATCACTAAAGTATTACTGGCCGATTTGATCCTAGTGGATACCGTGCCCGTTTTCAAAAGGATGCCCGGAAAAACTGAGCCAGTCATAGTGGGATTGGCCTTACTTTCTTTTATTCCAAAGTGCTCGCCGCCGTGCTTTTATGGGGGCTAAGTCTAGTACGCGAATATAACATACTTGAGGAGCGAGCCGGATTGCACTTAAGCCGGAGCTGTATCGATCACATCTGTACGATACGTTAGATACTCGCGTGTCGCCCAACGTTCTGCCGGCCGACAACCATTTTCTTCTGGAGCATACGAGCCGCGTTTGATTTAGTTGACTGAGTTGTCTTTTTAGAAGAAGAGTGCCCGAGAAGTATATTAGCATTCTCCAAGCCATCTATTCTGGAACTTCGAGCAGAGTACGGACGTACTGGGGATTATCCCTCCCTTTCGATCTCACCAGTGGCGTGAGATATGGCTGTCTATCATCACCCTCCCTATCCAACTTTGCTATGGATGACATGTTGTAGGCTGCTCTGTACAACTGCAAACCCAACAGCATCGTACTGTCTCCACGCGGGCGATCTCTAGATTTGGAGTATGTAAACGAAAGCGCTGTAGTTTGCGATTCTTCACAGGCCACCTACTATATTCTACATAAGTTGTAGGTGTCTTCCAGTCCAGAATTACCCCCATCCCATCGAAGTGTAAGGTCTTTCTGCTTTACTGGCTAGGAATCGCCACTACTACATCCTTTGGATGTGGTGGACAACTTTGTTTACGTAATTCGCTGTCTCAACTCTAAAGGCTTAACGGATGAGGTCTCTTCGCGCGTCTCGAGAGCTTGGGTTGCATTAGCTAATTTCCACCGTCTCTGGTGTCGACTCGACCTCATCCTCTCTCCGATGGACCGGGTCCACAATGCTACGGTGAGTGGGGTTCTGATCTCTGCTTGTTCGCGCACAAGATTCTCAGAGGTTGTCTGTTTGTGGTCACTTCTGCCTGCGGAGCGTTGCTGGTGGGCCATGACAACACCACACTAGGAATAATGGCGTTCGTCGAAGGATTTTCAGGTAAGACAAATTCCGCCTGACCGTTGCGATGCATGATTTCACTGTAGAGGCTACGGTGACTCGGGCACGTGTTTCTAATGGCAGTTAGGCGTCAACCTCGCCGTACCATCTTTGCGCACGTAGAGGTCGGTTGGAAGCGCAAGCAAGGTGGTAACGAATGAATTGGGTCCACAGTATGGAGTCGCTGACCCCAAGCTTGGAGGCACAATGACCAAGAACACGCCTTACTGGTAACCTTCTGGGGCATGGCAGGAATTCGCACTCAGTTGCGGACGTGTTGTGAGATGTTCCAGTCATGTTGATACTTTTTCATTTTTAGTCTTCGTCATATTGTAGTTATCCATGGATTGTCACACTCTGCCAACCGCACTGCTACTGGCCAAATGTTAACTTTATTATGAGTTCATATATATTGTACATGCACGCAACCGCTCAAGAATATTCTGAACTGACATCTGACCACGCAAAGGCTAATGACGTTTCTTTATCTCTGGTTTCCATGCTTTTATGATCATTCTTATTTTTCCTCGTGACTTTTGTCTCCTCAAGAATGCAAGAGGGAACGACGAATTGCGTTCACTGGAATCTCGTCTGAAAGTTGTCGAGGAGCGAATAAAGGTTTCCGCAGATGCGTTAGTTCAGGCTAAACACTCGAATTCGCAACTTCGCGAAGCCATCCAAGCTCATCTTCCCACACTCGAACGGTTAAGTACAACTGTGGAAGAGCTTGCTGCATCACTTCCTTCAGTGCAAGCATTGATCGAAGGTAAGCAGTTTTCATCCACTTACACACAATCTGCACTGACTCCATTATCAACTTACCATCATACCGCTGTCCGTTGTCATCGGTGCGGCAGTAACGTCTAACTTGCTGATGAATTATTTTTTGCCGGGATTACTTCTAAGTTTTCTCCTTCACCCTTTTCCTTATCTCTTGATTGTATTGAGATAGTTTTACATCTGGCCTCATTATTGGGCTGCTTTCAGTTGTTTCCACAGCACTCTCAATTGAGGGGGACCCACCTTATCAAGGCATGTGTAGGTTTTACTGACGGTGGAAGTCGGCCGACGGCCGAAAGGATTACATAGTTGCATTGTAATCCAGTGGTCACCGATTCGAATCCACTTAGATGCGGACGACTTTGCAGCATGCTCGGCCCGCGCGCGACCGATGGTGGTCGCGTGGATGCGAAGCCTCGGTATGATTTGCCGACATACTGCTGATGCCTTCCTTCGCCTTCTGACAGTAGTAGATGACAGTAGCCGAAGTGCTCGATTCTGCACAAAGGACATCGTATGTATTGTTGTCTGTGTCACCAGGAAGATGCGATCACTCCGTGACTGGCTGTATGACCTGCCATGTTCGCAAGCTGTCAGCGCTTGAATCCTGAATTTTACTAACCGTTTTTCGGTTGTGCATCAAGTCACCTCACTACTCTTCCCCAAAACCCCCATTTATGCCTAGATGCTTTCACTATATCGGTGTGTTTCTTTCCTTAGTGTCATCGTTCATCGTGTTTTTTTAAACATCCCTGCAAAGTTGAAACAGCTATTTGCTTCAACCCCTGGTTCCGCGATCTTTGTTTGGCATATACTTGCTTTATCTTTTTATCTTCCTGTTTCGATGGACCATTCAATCCCCTCGTGCTTTCTGCTTCCTGTTTACTAGTGTACGTATGGCGCATCCATTTATTTGCAGCGTCATTGCACTCCAAAAAGTACCTACTTTGTCATCAGCATCGAACACTACTTATGACTCTATTTCACAACCAGTGATAATGAACGTAGGACATGCCACTAAGTATGCACTAGATGCAATACACTGTTTACTGTACCTTGAGGCTGTTCACATATTTGCTACGACAACCGTGTGAACAGTGCTACTGTGTTGTGCGCGGCTGTTACAATGTGTCACACTAAGTGCTCTCACCGTCCGTACACGAACTGTCCTGCTTAACCTGTGATGCTTAATTCTACACACAGATTTATATGCTTCTCGGTAATGTCTGCGGCTCCTCAAATCCCACTGTGAACTATACAAACTGTGTGTTGTTTCCTTATCTGTCAAAGGTGGAGTGGATAACATTGCAGTATGGCCTGTATTACTCTGTGACACTCATGTTTTCGCCGTGAACCGATGATACAGAGAGACGTACTGTCTCTGCCTACCAGCGCCTTTGTACCATCACTTGTGGCTACTGATAGTACCGAAAGGACGGTTCTGTGACTTATCTGATAGCGTTTACTCCGGATTCTTTCTCGCACCATTCTGGATCGCGATTTGAGTCTCAACCATCTACATAACGTCATCCACCAACCATTACCTCACTCGTTTCACACCCATATCCAGCCATCAGTACATGATAAATCCAAGCAAATATGGGACCTTTTGTGGTGTCCAGTGCTGTCGGCGATCAACACCGAAAATCCCTCCTCAGCCGCCCACGTTGGTTGCATTGCGTCTTCTGGACACTTACTGACTACCTCTCTCGGCGTGTGTTGTTTGCCTACTGGCTAGCTCCCAGTCTGGTCACTCAATAGCTTAGTTAAGGCATGTGAGATACTGAGCTGAAAAAATGATATGAAATGTGCAACTCCTTCCCTGGATAGAGTTGACGAGATCGTCCACATCACTGGTTGAATCTCTTTTCTGACAATGCACGGTTGCGTGACCAGCGCTGTCATTACTTTCAATCCGTTACCCCCGCTTGTTCCTCTCTACCTCAAACCCTGTCTTTTTGATTCCGCTTGTTTTCGGCCTTTTCTCTTTGTCCGCGACAATCTTGTTATTAGGTTAATCTTCATTTCGCTGTTTTTGGACGTATTAGTTCCTTGCACACTACACCATTTTGGTAGGATGTTGTGAATCGTTCTAGCGACGTATGCCTAGTGGACTGGGTTGACAGCCTTTCGTTCACACCGTTTCGTCATCTTGCTCAGTTATGTGTTCCCCAGTACCGGTCCGTGGCTTTGCGGCTCCGGCGTCTGGCTTGCAATCACAGGAGAACCGTTTTGAGCCTACGTACGCGCGGGCGGGCTCACCGTACCTAGCCCGCACGCGACTGGTGTTGGTCGCGTGACAACGAAACGTCGGTATGGTATACTGGCTCACTATTGTTGCATTTGCTTTTCCCTTTCTTTATTACTCTTAGTTCTGCTTCATTCGACTTGCTCGGACTAGTCGCGTTCTTTCTTATTGCCATCTCGCTTATACCGTAGCAACAACTTTGCTCCCGTCTTACTTCATTACTGATATCCTGGCCTTTCACCTGCTCTTATTGAGGAATGTTGCACCTGGCTACGTGGCTTCTTTGACTACAATTCGAGATGGAGTGATTATTAAACGTTATGCTGCGTTTGCAGCTTTATTTCTCTGTTAACGGCGCCGCTCATCAGTTACTGATATTTGTTGGTTTTGTCCCATTTGTTTCTACGTTGTTACAAAAATTCACTGATTTGACATTGCCCGTTTTCATTGCAGCATCCCGGTCATGGTAACTGTTTCCATTTCGCTTCATTGCTCGTATGTTTGCTATCCGGCTGATTTGTTCTGAATGCTAAAGGCTACCTGGTTGGATTTAGTGACCGATCTCCCATTTTGTTACTCAGCTCTCCATTGAACTTGAATCGCCATCATTGATTGAGCCACTTTCATCCTACGCCTGTTGTATGCGCATCGTGGTGCGAAGTGTTTACCGGGAGGCGTCTTGTTAAGACGCTCGGTGGGCGGTTGACTGATGGCTCAACTAACTAGCATCAGCGGAGTCATGTTGCTACTGTGCACCACACCTCTTGATAGGAGCGGCTGATCACCCACCGGAAAGGTTCGAATTTCTCTTAAATGTGACGGCGTCGACGAGTCAGCTCTGTTTCTGCATCTACCCTCTGACAGGTGCATGCTCATGTTCTCACGTGTTGAAGTCTTCTCCACTGTCTTTTTCAGTTCTCCCCTGTTTTCTTATTATTTGTCTTTGTGATTACAACTTTACTAGCTACGAACTGGTTTATCGCATCACAGAATCTTGATTTATATGTTACTAAACCATACCTAACCGACTACACGTTCATTTCACGATATCTATCCTGTGTTTACCTCGCTTTCATAGCGCTTTTGTCTGACTGTTGTTCTTCTATAGATCCAGAAGCTGTGAAGGTCCTGAATTCTAGCCAAGCATTGTATGACAAGGTGGATGAAATGCGTCGTCAAAGAAACAACTTCGTTGATCAGTTGCGCAGCACCCTCCACGACGATGATATCACCGGCGATTTGTTGACATCTTCCAGCCCTCCCTCCGCTGATATGTTTGAGACACGCTTAAAGAAGCATGATCATCTTGTAGAGCTTCTTCGTCTCAATTTGACTGCGCAGAAAAACATTGAATCAGCTTTCATTGATTTGAATGCCGGATTTGCGCCGTTTGCAATCAAGCTGCGGGATATCCGTAAAAAGTGATTTGATCCATCTGTAGCCTGTATGACCATTCTTTTCTCTTCGTTTTATTTCGATCGGCTCCTTTAGGTGTGGATGTTTGAATATTGTCACTATTGTCACTGTTGGTGCTTTACTAGTGTCACCATTGGTTCATTGTTTATACGATATCTTTTAGTGTTGTTATTTTGTAGTCACTCGATGAACAGTAGTTTGTGTCATAGTCGTTATAACTCACTCACCCGGCGTTCTGCTATCCTATTGACTATCCCCTCGATGTTTCCGCTTTATATCCAATGAAACAGAGCCAGTCTCGGACCTGCTTCGACCACATTGTCATCCGGTTGCGGATTGCGCCTGACTGGCGCTGCTTTCCCATAGTTAAAGATCCCGAAATTTCGTACTGGATCAAATATCAATTTTTACGGGTCAGGCAGACGGACTTGCTTAATAATGACTGGTATTGACTCTACGGTTATTGGGTATAGTCTACGAGTCTATCTCCATCTTCGTAATGAAAGCATGTTTGCGACATTGCTTGCTCCGCTTCTGTCTGGAAAGTTGCTGTCATCCAATGATCGCATTCAGTGTGCCTGCAACTTTCTGTACTTATCCCTGACCAAGTTTCCCACCAAAAGTGCTAGTGGTTGGTAACAACCGTTCGACGGAGAAAGTTAAAGCCATCGCATTCATTCGAGCCTTCCTCTCCTCACAACTGTGGAATACTTGGCCGGGGAAACGACTTTCGAGTCAAGCAGATAATGGACTAGTTTTTTCTCTCGGTAGAGATGGACGTTGACCCTGACATTTCGCAATCCTATTCAGTTTGTCTACTGTGCCCGTCTCTTCTGTTGGGTCACCTAACTCTCCCTACCGATAACGGCGATATAGCACATTCTGACTCTATTCGTCGACTGCAATCCTACTAGCCTTTAGCAGTTGTCATTAGATAACCTACACAACAAGCGTGTTTCCCGTCCATACAACAGTATAACCAGCATTAGTACGTTATATGCTTCGCTGCTATTCGACAGGGTAATTGCCCGCTGTTTCCACAGCCGAACAAAGCTTACAAGACCAGCTAGCCCATTTCGACGCAAACATTAAACCTTTTAACGATTCAGCTCCGGGGTCCCCATTGTGACCTTTCTAGGTAGTCCTGTCGACCAATTCGAGGGGCTTTCCACTTGAGCATAAACTAATGATAGGCGTCGAAAGTTCAATCGCTTCGTCGTATCGACACCTCGTTGCTGCATGACCACCAACAGTCACATGCTGTCAGTGGATATTACGCAGTCGCCCGCACCTGCGCAGAATCGGACCGCGGATCACACGCCAAACGCTTTATCGGAGTGGATTTACAGCGCAGTTCCGCAATCATCACTTGATTTTAAAGCTGACTAACTGCACAACTTAGCATGTGCCTTGTGTAATTGTGACGGATTATCCGGATTGCTCACATTTTCGTTTGCGCTGCTACTAGATTAAACATTAACTTGGTGCGACCCATTGAACCCTCGGACCTCTTGCGAATTACACCTAGCAGGTCGGTCAATGGTTAGAGGTCAGGCATTTTCAGTCTAATGGTCCTCCAATTTGAGGGTTAGAAGTGGGATAGTACTCATTTCTGCAAAAACCAATCATCGCCGCATCCTCCTTGCCTTGCGGACTTGTTTTTGAGCCAAAGGCTTTGGTTGAGGACCATTACCGTTCTCCTGCCTAGGTCTGAGCGCCCTGGCAGTATTTCCGCCCACGTACAACCATGACTACTTCAAACTTCAACCATACCCTGCATCGGCCGTCACGCAGTTTATCAAGGGTCCCTTATCTGTTGCATACAGCAGGGCTGTTTCACTTAATCCGCTCTCGAGTCCAATTACTAAACTACTTTCTATACTTCACATCTTAATTGACAGCATCTGCAATGCCACTGTATTTCAATCAACGGCAGCTATCTTCCCGCATCACCCACTGGATTCCAATCACCAACACCACCTGTAGAGCCACACTGTCTCGTTTCCCTGGCGGTGTTCAACGTTCGCACTCTAAGTCAATTAGGTCAACAGGCTGCACTCGCATGCTTGTTGGACGCGCTGGGTATTGACGTACGTTGCGTGTCCGAGACTAGGATCAATGACCCTCAGGGGGTTGTTGAACCAACTGCGCCCAGCCTGTCTTCTCGCTCTCGGTTGCGCACATCCAGAGACGATGATGCAGTAATCACTGTTCAAGCTGATGTGGGCATCGTCCTCAGCTCCAACGTTGAGTCGTCGCTGATTGTTTAGATTCTCATTAGCACTTCATTTGACGATATCAACTAAAATGGCTTCACGAAATAGTACAAGATACTTTTGTTTGTGGTTTCCGCTTATGCTGCTACCGACTGCACTTATGATGCTACCAAGGACAATCTCTTTCACGAACTGCACACGGTGTTACGCAATATTTCCAGTTCAGATTTCATTGTTGTTGCAGGATATATGAATGCACAAATAAGTCATGTGGGCTCTTCGGTAGCTGAGCTAGGACAACGGCGAGCGTCTGTTGCAACTGTGAGAAAATCATCGGCTGTTTCTTGGTAGCACCGCTTTTGGACACTGTGAGCGCCGAAGTGCTACTTTGCGTCCCCCTATAGCTGGCCAGCGATAAACCCAAATATATCATCTTACCATAAGTCCCAGGTAAGGTGTTTCCATGAACTGCGCCGGGATGCGTATCAAGCTTCTCCCTCGATTGGCTACAGATAAGTTATTTTAGTTTTCGAGCAGGCAAGAGTAAGCTCATGGGTTCGAATCCCGCAGGATTCGGCGGGTGCGCGCTACTGCCGAGTCCCAATATGAAGAAACGGCCGTCTTGAGCTTTCCTGGATATGTGGTGGCTGTTTGCCTGAGTCTAACTGCTACGGATCTTCACGAACACCCAATAAATCACTCTACTACTTACAAATGCCATGATTTTTTCATACGGCTTCAGGACCGTTTCCTCGAAATTTTTTAATGCTCGACTTTACAGTGTGTCACGATCGAACTGTTCATCCACTGTTTAAAATGAGACAAATAGACTACGGATAGGTGACCTGCATCATCTTCAATTGATGTTGCAATACTTGTCTTCTCTGGTCCTCTGCGCATCACGGATCTTTGTTTCTAGGCTTTGACTGTCAACGCTTCATTTGTGACGAACACTGGGTTGTTGCTCTTCTCCCTTATGTTATGTCCTCTCCTCTCTATTTCGGCATTCCCCTTACCACTTACCGTTTTGACTGGTGCACTTCTTTCCATTCCATTTGACCCGAGCTAAACCGTTTGTCAATCGTGCAAATCTTTACTACCGGCCATCTGTTGCCTATATATGTCCAACGTGCGCATTTTGTGGTTTTGGAGTAGTCGCCATGTGTTGCGTTTGCAAGATGCAATCTCAATTTGAACCCCGATTTATTCTGAATCAAATGTCAGTCTTTTTTTAACTGAGACGGCTCTCGAAGCTGAGACGTTTTCATCGTTGTTCTCACTTACCAGCGTTGAGAGTGTTCTGCAAGTTCCCCAACTAGTTATAATATGTGAGCATTCGGCCATCATATACCTAGTCAGCCTGGTAGTCCCTCTATTCTTCTAGTATATTAGGTAACCTCTAGTTCAAATTTTACTTACTGACCAGATTGTACATACCTAGGCAGAGCAGTGGTTATCACGGTCTCGGAATAAATCCTCACTCTCCGGTGATTGCCTCATTGTACTCTCCTAATTGAAAAATCATTTCATCACTTGTCTTGCGACTGAATAGCCCATTTGGTACTTTTCCGTCCGATCTCACTTAGGCGGGCCAGTGAGATTCAAATGCTTCTTCTCTCTGGACGGATGCTTGATGAATTGTTGCACAAGCATCGTCAAGGCCTAAATTTCTACGAACAAATCAAACTTCAACTTAACGAGAGTGCAAATGTGTTGAATGAAATCTCCGAACGTTTGGACAAAGCAGTATCCTCTTCTTTCGGTACGTGAAAGTTTCATAGCTATTTCCCATGCCCTCTCTTATCATCCCCCATCCCTTTTCGCAGATTGTTAATGGCTTTTGACAATAGGGAATCTGTGATCTTCTCGTTCCCCTACTGGTCACCGAACATCGCATTTCACCCCAACTTTGCTTCAGCATTCCATTCCGTTATTTCTGATGTTTAAACCACACGTGCTAATTTTAGAAACAGTCGCTGTGTTGCACTTGTTGTATCCCCCTGTCCCTGCACTTTTGTTGTCCCCATCGCGATGAGACTGAGTTTTGGCGTAGTACAACATGTGTATGCCTCTATGTTCCATTGCCGGATCCTGCATGACAGTCTCCAAGTCCATTCACATACGTACTTAATGGGTGAGGCAAGACAGTTCCAACCTCATCTGAGGTTCCAGAAGAGTCTATAGCCCTCATACTTCGGAATTGCGTCATGAGAATTAGCATTAACGCATTGTACGCTCGTGTACATTGTCCTAGGGCGCGAGCACCAGGGCTACTTTTCGTGGTGATAAAGAACCACTCTTGCTCAGTTGTTTGCTTTCCGCCTTCCTTAACCCAGGCAGCCTCTGCTCAGTAGGGTGCAACTCCACCAAAAACTTCCTTCGTTTGACTTTGATCGACATGAGTCATTATAGATGCTCCATTGTTGTATTCGACTGGTCTCAGGTAACTTCCGACGAAGCTTCAGTCACACTCCCGCTTTTACTGTTTCTTCAGGTGCTACAGCAGCACCATAGTTGAAAACGGCCCACCATGATAGATTTCCCGGATGTGAAAACTGCCTCATGCTCTATTGGCCGCTTGTTTGCAGCTACATCCATCATTGAAGGGCCTGCCTGAAATACGTTTCCACCACTGTATATTATGTATGCTTCAGCCTCCAGGGTCGTGTAAGTTCCTACGGAAAGCTCTTCCCTGAGCTCATAGCGTCTAGTAGAGTGCGCCATGTCTGCCCTACCTATGTCTTTATAATTTTGATCGCAATGACCATGAGTGATGCTGTTTTGCATCCATCTAATTTTGCCGGGATAGATGTTCCGTGGGGTTGCCGACTATCGACCTTATACAGTGGCCTATCTCGTACGTGCTGTTCTGTCATGTAAATGGAACTTTCACAAAAGACAGGTGTCATTCTACGCATGTCGTCCAAATGCCTCCTCTGTCCCTGTTGACTTGATGCGTTTATTTGTCAGTGCTACTGTTTTTCCGCTACTTGACCTACTACTTCCCCGTGATTTTCCCCAGTCTTCTGTGTAAGCACTTTAGGTTAATTGTCAGGTCATTACAGCACATATCCCGATGTAGCCGCGTTCCGATGCCTACTTTTGTCAACACACTTCTGTCTACACATACAGATTCTTGTAGGCAAGTGACATGTAAGATACAAGTCATCTGTCATCTTCGTCTACTAGGGAGAGGTGCAAGTCGGTAAATGCTCCCACACAATCCTGCTGCTCGTCGGTCATTCCTTGCGTTTCTCCTTTTCTGCAAGATCCCAACTCTGTCGTTCTAGACCTAACCAAGCCATTTACAGTATGATGGCATTATTGTCTATTCTTTATCAAACCGATTTTATAGCACTGCTTTGTAATTGATTTATATTTTGGTACATTACTGAGATCGTGTGTGTCGTAGCAGAATATTCACCCGCTCACGGTGTATCAGACAATATGTTGACTTGAATTATAATAAATGGACAAAACAGCTATCCTTGGGCGCAGCTGGTTTAACTGACTCTTGGCGCTGCACATCCTAGTGCGTAGTTTGCACTTTCAGAGTACAGAGTACTGGTACATAACTGTACTGAAATTCTTCCAGTTCTCCTTCTCACTCGAATCGGACAATCTGTTCATTTAGCCAGGTTGCCGCATTTCTACCACCTTTGGTGCTCCCATTACTGAGATGAATAGCGCTAGCGTTACCAATGGTCGAGTGGCTTTGAATTTTCTCAGTCAATGATGTAGGCGGTTGAGTATGAGCTTTTGCGTTCAGGGCAGGATCTACAATACTACAGTGCGACTATTGTTAATTCATGAGTCGGAAACTTAACCAGTACCCACTGAGAACATAAGGAGACTGGTCGTTTTTGATCGCCAATATCTACGCTGTATTACTACTTTTTAATGGATGCATTGAGTGGTTCTGAAATGCGTCATATAGTTTTGGATTGCAGTTCCCCTGGAGCAACAGTGAAGGGTCTGTTGTTCTCGAATGGCCGACGTCGCTTATGCCTGAAAACCGGCTTGTTTTGTTTCTCAGCACCTACTAACCTGATGGAATCCCATTGGTTGGCGGTCAGGGAAATGGAAAATGCATGAGGAAGCTCATCGAAAGCCTGAGTCCAACTGGTGCTTGTTGCCTACCTGAATAGGGTCTCATCTCATTTCTTTTTCTTCTATGAGTAGGGGACCGAAGTTCATTGGTTCCAGTCGTCAAGGTGCGCTTCTCCAGGAAAATAACACTTTCTAATTTTCGTTAAAATAAGGCGAAATGCAACTAGGATTCTGGACACCACTGCATCATATCCATTGAGGTCTCCAACCCCCGATGTAGGCCATCAGGTACGCTTAGTGGTTCAGTCAGTTTCTGCGTGTTTTTTTCCGCGTCATTGACTGACCACTTCGCGGTTCACCCATCCTGAGATCAGTCCCCCCGACGAATGGGACACGTTATGAACCGCAGAATCCAATGAGGCCTTTCATTTTACTCCTCTATTTTTATTTGACACTTGTTTCTTCTTCATTCCCTTTGTAGCATTTCGATTTTTTCAATGCACTCGTTGCGGCATGCAACCTCAGGCTGGAACGTGACTATAACGTTGCCGTTATCGGCGATTAGTTCTCATGCTTCATAATGGATCAACAATGACAACCATTGCCCACGGTTCAGTGACATGTAATAAAAGCTTACTCGGTGATCTCTACTGCCTAAAATTGAATCCTAATCCTGCTAACGAGCACCAAGCAGTACGAGAGCGACCAACATCTATCATTATTGATGTTTAGGCTGTTTTTGTTTTGTCAATCTGATCCCGGACAGCTGGTTCTACCGCACCCCAGTGCACTGATGGTAGTTGACCTGGACTGAATTACTTTGCCTCTGCCATGCTCCATCTGGCGATATTTATCACGTTCTATTTTTCTATTTATCACGTTTTGCTTTTGGTTTCTTCAGTGGACGCAAATTTCCCCTTTTCTTCACATTAATGTTTGTGGAACTGCTATGCGGTTCTACCACTTATGTTTTCGCCTTCTTTTTCTCTCGCAGTTGTCACCCAGGGCTCGCCTGTATCGCATTTCACAACTATCCCACCCGTTTCTCCGATGTCAGCCCAACTTCCTAGACCTATTTCTACTCTGGGAGAGTATCTGGCTTCAAGGAATGCTCGACCAATAAACCCCAATTTCGTCGGATCTCCATTTGATACTCGGCCTGTGTCCACCGTTTGCGCTTCAGCCGCAGTTCAACCGGCGGCCCCATTGCCTTCCACTCCTGTCGTTCTGCATCAGCCCACAAGAGTTCCGTTTTCTCCTGTGGCGAATTTTGGCCGCTTTCCTGCACCTCCACCCTCCTACAATTCCGGGCCGTCAAACTCAGCCCAGGCGCCACCTTTGCAGGGTTTTCATTATTCGTCATCAAGCGAGGTAAGTATATATATATATATATATATATATATATATATATATATATATATATATATATATATATATATATATATATATATATATATATTACATAGGGTTTTTACATCCAGAAATTCATGTTTTGTGATCGCAAAAGCCATGTATTGTTGTACGGGTCTCTGTCCATTGAATTCATCACGATGAGCGGTATGTATCTGACATGACCCATTCCTTTCCTCTTTTTTACCTTCTTGGCAGATCACTCATAAGTGATTCCTGCTTCTATTTATCCAGACTGGACTTTAACGTGCTATGGCGGTTTGCGTACCTCGTCGACCCATTTGAGCTATTCTGGGTGGGGTCCCTGGGCCCATTGTAATCTATCCCTATCAGGTTTGTCAATGATTAGAGGTCAGACTAACTCAGTCTCCTGGTCCTCCAGGTTGGGGGTTTGAAATGGGATGGTGTCCTATTCTGTAAAACTAAATCATTGCCACCTCCCCACTGCTTTGCGGACAGGCTTTTGAGCCAAAAGGCTTTCCCTGAGAACTCTAATCGTCCTGCTGCCTAAGTCTGGGTACCCTGGCAGTATCTCAGCCCACGTACAATCATGACTACTTCTTCAACCTACAACCGTCGGCCACCTTACCAAAAGTCGCCTTATCTGCTTCATACAGCAGGGCGGATACTGAATATCGAGAAAAGCGAGCGGGAAGATAAAAATCAGTTGCTCCATCGTAGATGGATCGGGCACATGCGCGGATTCACGTCGCTGATTCCTGTGCGGTGTCAACATATTGCAGCTGCACTACATCTTATCCGGGTGCGATACGCTCCATATGCCTGCAGTCCACAAAGTGGGCGTCAAGGAATCTCTTAAATTCCGACACCGATTTCGCCTTGACTAGCGTCTGCGGCAATTTGTTCCAATATTTCACCACTCGAAGCGTAGAAGATGGGCGATGTGCTTTAAATCCGGTACCACTAATTTGTACCGGTGTTTGCGTTTGCTGCTAGGTGCGCGAACGTGCAGCAGCTGCTTCAACATAGGGAAGTGGCCTAGGTGCCGTATCTGATGCGTCATAATGTGCTCAGCTCGAAGCCAAAGATATGACAAGATATAAAGCCCTAGTCTCTTACCTCGGTCCTTGTACGACACCCCGTAGACTGAGGATGGGCCGGATGTCTACATGCTGGACCCGTTCCAGTCTCTGCACCTCACCTATTGTGATCGGGCAATAAGAGAGTGAGCCGTACTCAAGCACTGTTCTTATTATGGAAGAAAACAGATGGGTGGCAATCTCTTCAGACCAAGTGCAGAAGCTGCGTCTAAGTGCCCAAAGCAGATGTAGTCCGTTTGCGTACAGTCTGTTCGTGTTGTCGACAGACTTCGGATCATAGCGTGAGAGTACGCCTAGATCCTTTACGGAACTGGTGGGATGCAGTGGGTGGCCGGCCAGGGTGTACGCACGCCTATTACTACCCTTCCACTAGGTTCATAAACGCAAACTTGGCCGTGTTGACCGGTAGGTCAACTTCTGCAGACCACCGGAATTGGCGGTCGAGGTCCTGCTGAAGGACGTCGCAGTCGTCGAGAGAATCAATAATCCTCGAACGCTTCAGTTCTCTGCAAACAACGCGCAGGGCGACTGAAGAAGCTGTGGTACTTCGTTGATGTGGATCAGGAACAAAATGGGCCCCAGTACTGTGCCTTGGGGTACGCCGCTATTAGACGGGTATCACTCCATCAGATGCTCATCCACCTGAACCCGCCATCTCCCAATAGGGAGTCACTAATGCACTGGTGCAGTGCGCCATCAACACCACACATCCTCAGCTTGTGAAGCAGCACCTCGTGGTCCACTTTGTCGGAAGTTTTACTGAAATCAATGTACATAACATCCACTGACTTCCCTCGGTTCAACGCTCGAAACCGTTCCTGCAGCGTCAACAGCAGATTGGTGATGCACGATCGGCCCTTCATAATGCTGTCATCATCATCATTCTACACATCAGCTGGAGGTGGAAAGCACCTCAGCTACTGTTCCGCAATAAATAAAAGAGAAGAACGGAAAAATTTGAAACAATTGCAGGCTAGCTTAGCTACCGGTTTCGGATGAACATCGTTCCAATTAGCTACCTGCCGGCTAATATGCAGCGAAAAAAATTTACTATACAAATTATATAGGGCTAAGTATTGAGATCATGGTTAGTGGAAGAGCCTAAGTGGGATGGGACGGACACAGAAACTCAGAGCAGGAACGCCACTGAGGTCGGCTCTTAGCCATGTCAGCAAGTGTATCCAGCCAAACGTGTTCATCTTTTTTCGGACTCCAACCAGGGAGCCGAGACGCTACAACCGAGGCCAGCTTCAAAGTGAGGACCTTCATTCCTCTGGACCAAGTCATCGCTTGGCCACCACTCCTCTTCTTCCATCCGCACCCCGACGCACAAATAACGCACGTCGCCCGCCGTGCTGTGCCGACCTTAGGAGATCTTTCGACTCGAACAGCTGGAGAAAACCCTTTTTCACAAACTTCTTGAGCACCTCAGCCAAAACAGAGATGAGACAAATCGGCCGGTAATTGTCCACATTGCTTGGGTCACCACCCTTTGGAATCGGTTTCACTACCGAGCATTTCCATCCTCTTGGCAATGCGCCATCGGACATCGATCTGCGGAACAGATCCGTCACGGCAGGCGAGATAATGGCCGATAAGCATTTTACACTTAGCAGGTGAAGTCCATCTTGTCCGGCAGGTTTTGCGCCATCAAGACAGGCGAGTAGACTGCGGACATCTACACCGCAATCAAGGCCCTCGAGTTCCGTAAGGGCTGCTCACGTCGAGCTCGGCATAGGCGCATGCCCACTACGGAAGCGAAGTGCTCCGCTAATGCGGACGCACTTTTAGTGCTGGAGGTCAGAGGACGTCCGTCAGTGCTCACTAACACAGCTACGCCACTTGCGGGCCTAAGGTGCCGCTTCACGTAAGCAAACGTCTTGGGGACCGTGTTCGCTGAGGTTGCAAGATCCTCATCAAACTGTCGATACTTTTGCACTGTTGCATAGATTCCGCTGCCTTTTGTACTCCTCATGGTCGTCGGCACAGCCAGTGACGAGGAATTTATTCCACAATTCGCGTCGCCGTCTGGCCAATTGACTGTACTCACTATCGAACCAATATGGCTTCACTGGTCCAGGTTTCCTATATTTGAAGGGTACGAAACGAGCGCACAACGATTGCACTCCCTCTTGTATAACAGGCCAACTGGCTTCAACAGATGAATTCTGTGGTAGCGACCAGTCTACTTCACTGGCGGCTCGAATTAGACCATTGAAGTCGGTCTTCCAATAGTTGTGGGACGGCTACGACAGACGCGAGTAGGACAGCGGTAGCTGTAGGCTGGCTCATGCCATCGAGTGGTCACTAGCTGCCACAGGTTCCAGGACCTGAATTTCATGTACACATTGCTCACAACTCGTTAGTAGTAGGTCCAGGCACGATGGAGCGGAATGCGATGTAATGCGCGTCGGTTAGCAGACATGTTGTGCTTCCAAAGTTTCAGATACCATCTCCGCAAACTGCGTCTCGACTTCACAGTGCCTGGGGAGAAGTTGAGCCACAGGCCGCCTTATTCGAGCGAAGTTAAAATCGCCCGTACGCAAGAAGCGGGGCCGGTTCATGTAGTTTCTGGCATGCGGCAACCAATCCAGGCATCGACTTAGCGGGCTGCGATAAACCGCACCCACAAACAATTCGCCCTGTCTCAGGCGGATCGGGCACCATAACTGTTCGCATAAGCAATCTTCGCTACGGTAGGTATGTACCAGTCTCACGCACAGCTAGGACCGGATGTATAACAGCATGCCGCATCGATCGTTTGATAGTCTGTCGCATCGGATGCACGAATAGCCACTGATCTGGACTTTTTGGGTGGTGACGTTAGGATTTAACCAGGTTTCGGCCAGTCCTAGTACGGCCGGATGACGAAGGCAACGAAGTGAAATGCGTCGTCTCTTTAGTCCATTAACCTACAAACATTTTTGAAGTCTATTAGCAGGCCGGTGTAGGAACCGGCAGACGCGTATGAAGTGTCATCGATCTGTAGATCCGGGTTCGACGGACCCGGGGAATTACCCGCACATTTTCGCTGTGGAGTTTGGTTTCTCCACTATCAGTCCGTCGCTTCAACTCCACGATAGCGGACTTCAGTTTCTCTCTGTACGGCGGATCCAAATCGGGAGGAATATCGATCTTTAGACCACTTAGCCTGACGAGGCGGGATAGCATTATCCTCAGTCTCGTTTCATCAACAAACGTGAGTCGCAGAACCTGGGCTTCTCATCCTCACTTTTTCCAAGACGAGTGGTTTGCTTCACCCGCAACCCCTATTCATTCAGGTTGAGAAGCCTATCAGTCAGACTCTGCAGAAGATCAACGTCGTGGTCATAACGCGCCTGGGGACTAGCATGTGTCGACTCAGTGCGTGTTATATTATAAGGTTACAACGTTGCTGATTGCTGATAGTTGTCTTCTCCTTTTGGCTTCCCCACATTCTGCATTGGTCTTGAACGCCTGCGCTATCGCGCATCGCAATGAGACTGGACCTTACCGTGATGCGATATTTTATGTGCCTCAGTGATCCATTGTTCTATTCTAGGTGGTGCTTTTGCACCTTCAGAGTCACTCATACCAGATTCGTCAATGGTTAGAGGCCAGACAAACTCAGCCTCCTGGCCCTCCAGGTTGGGGGTTGGAATGAGGGGTGCACCTTATTCGTTAAAACGGACTCCTTGTTGTCTAACGCCAAACCCGCTGCCTTGCGGTAAGATTTTTGAACCAAATGCTTTGGTTGAGAACCCTAATTGTTCTCTTGTCTAGGCCTGGGCAACCTGACATTATACTGCCCAGGCCATACCATGAACCATACATCAAACAAATTCCTGATTCTCTGGCCACCGCAGAGGATAATAAACGGTGCCCTATCTGCTGCATCGAGCAGGGTGGATAGGGGTTTGG